GCTTAAAAAAAAAAATACCCATTCAATTCTCTTTCCTTCCTACAGCCCTCTCTGTTCATGCCCCAAATCTGCTTCAGAGGGTTTGTGAGCAGAGGATTATAAGAAGACAGAAGGGAAAGGAAGCTTCTGGTATATGAACAGATGTCCACTTGTAAAAACAAAATATTCCCCCTCCCCCCCAATTATTAAAAATATTCCCCCTCCCCCCCAATTATTAAAATTATTAAAGATTACAACATAGGTCAACTTCATAGGCTAAATCATGGTTTAGGCTAGTCATGGTTAACTGGTTAAGCAACAAATGGTCCTTCAAACAAACTAACTAATTTGATTTCCTCATTTCTAGACTGTTTTTCTCTTTCCTCTTCTGTCAGTAGGCAGCTAAGGAAACAGATCAGTGATAAACCACGATTCTTGGTTCAGACATAATCTGAAGCTATAGTTTAAACACCAAGCCATCTAAACTCCAATGCAAGGAGAAAGGTGAGATACAAATGAAACAAACAAGCCAGACTTCATAAGCAGGTGTGTGTTTAGCCATACTGGCTAACAACCCATGGTTTGAAGGGTCTTCTTCTGACTCAAAAAGGTAGAAAACAACAATGACTTACATTCGCATCACAGATTTTATCTTCTTTTTAAACTGGCTTGGATATTTAACCAAAGTGTTCAAGCTTTTATTACAATGGTTTGTTTCTTCTCTATCTGATTTTACATGTCACCAAGGATGTCAGCACTATAGAAAGTGACCTGTCATGTTCCACAAAGCTCAATTCCTTATGATTATACAGCTGAGCATCCCTACCAGGAAATCCAAAATCCAACAACCTACAAAAACAAACTTTTTGCTATCAAGTACTCACTTCTGCTCTTGAGGTAGCAGCTGTGGCAGTCTATCCAATCCTCAGTCCCTCTCTAGCCTAATGTCTCATATACAACACAAGTAGCAAACGAATGAGACACAAGGCTGGAGAGAGAGTAAGGATCTGTGAAAGGGTGGGAATCCAAGTGTAGTGCTCAATGCAAATCCACACCTCCGATCATAACTGACCGTCCTTGTGTCTCTCTCCAGCCTTACAAATACAGTACAGGTATGTACTATGCTACTTGTGCATCCCAAAATCCAAAAACATCTCAACTCCAAAACACTTCTGGTCCCAAGCATTTCAGATATGGGATAGTCAACCTATATACTGCCTTCTGACCTAATTCTCATATACACACACACATATTATGCAAACCTATGCAACACATGCAGCCTTCAGTCTTCCGACTCCTTAGTTTCTAAAAACCTCAAGAACTGACTATTGTAATGCATTTGGCACAGACCTTCCAATGGAGATGACACAGAAAGTACAGCAGATTCATAATGTCACAATTACCTCAAGAGACAGAAAGATAAACATAGAAGTACATGGGAAAGTAGACATCAATTCTGAAACTGGTATTTGGCTCCCTCTGAGCCAAGTCAAGATGACTGTGTTATATTTAGACCATCACAACCTGGATTCAGCATACCTTAAGAATAACCTCTCCATGTATGGACCTTGCAGTCCACCTGCAGTTACCAGGGAAAGCTATGTCTCACCATTAGTTCACCAGCATTAGCTAGAAGGTTTTCACTGTTGTTACTCCAAAGCCCTTGAATTGTTTTCTGAATAAACTCAAGATTGAGTCCATGGCATTCTGGAAGGTTTGGCATATTCAGTTGCTAAATGCCATGAAAACAGATAAGACAAACATCACGGTCAAAAGATGTAGCTTGTACTGGTAGGCTGCAGAATTTTTATCCAATGTTTGTTGAATTATGCATTTGTAACTGTATATGGTTAAGAAAGTAGGGTATGTTTAGCCTGGAGAAGAGAAGACTTACAGGCAATATGACAGCCATATAACCAAACAGACAAGGGCTGTCATATAGAAGCAGCAAGCTGGCTTTGCTGCTCTAGAAGTAGAACCCAAACCAACAGATTCAAATCACAGTAAAAGAGATCCTGACTAAAAATTAGGAAAAGCATCTTGATGGTAACAGTAATCCATAACTGAAATGGGTTTCCTCGAAAACATTAGGAGGAATTTCCTGACAGTAAGGGCGGTTCGACAGTGGAACACACTCCCTCAGAGAGTAGTGGAGTCTCCTTCCTTGGAGGTCTTTAAGCAGAGGCTGGATGGCCATCTGCCAGGGATGCTTTGATTGGGAGTTCCTGCATGGCAGGGGGTTGGACTGGATGGCCCTTGTGGTCTCTTCCAACTCTATGATTCTATGATTCTAAGATTCTATGATTCTATGATTCTATGAAAAGTGGTGAGCTCTCCTTTGCTACAAGTTTTTAAAGAAATGTTTTAACAATGGATTCCTGTATTAAAGGAGGGCTGTACTAGATTATCCTTGAGCTCCCTTCCAGCTCTACAATTCTGTGATTTTACTGAGTCTGCCATATTTTAAGTATGATTTTAACACGATATAAACCATTTCGATCTTAGAAAATATAGTGATAAATGTTAACATTAAAAATTAAATATAACCACAAAGGGTCCCAGGGCAGACAAGGAAGGTTTTTTCAATGGATCAGACATGAAAATAGGTCCCTCAACTAATCATTTAGCAAATCGCTTGCTATAAAATGAGGCTTTAAAAAATTCTAAGTTAATATCTGTTTTCAGAGAACGAACAAGTGGAATCAAGTCAAGAATGCAACCAATTTATTTCTTACACAGGTACCCCTAATCCACAGTGCTTAGCTGTCATTACTCAAGCTCAGAGGAAAATTTTTAAGTATCTTTCAACTCTTCTGGACTTCAAAGGCACGGTATAAGCATAATTTTAAAACTACAAAAAAGGTGTCCTAACCTGTTTCAGAGCAACCCTACCCCCAAACCCAACATTGTCATATTTTAAATACTGCAGACATGAGAACATTGCTGCCTTCTAGCTGTTATGTACCACCACTAGGTTTTGTTTTAGATTCTGCATTCTAAAGTTTTTGCAATTCAATCTTGTCCAACATACCCTTTCCATAAGTAACTAGTAAGTAATACACATAGAAGGGGATAACTTAAGTACAGTATCCCTCACCTCTTCCACATGCACACGTATGCACCTTTCCAAGGAAAGAATCGACTGTGTCCTGAGGCTATACTACAGTAGCCAAAGGTAAGATAATGATAGAAAGACAGCATGAAATGGAAACTGAAATACCATTACAGAAACACTTCCATAGGTATCCAGTACTGACACAAAAGGCAGGGGACACAAATTGCACTACACTCATCCCTCCATGTTTGTGGCTTTGACTTTTGTGGATTTGATTATTCACAGATTTTATTAATGTTTTCTCTAGGAATATCCAGGTCCTCCAGCACAACTCTATGGTCAACTTTAACCAAAAGTGCCACTGAAGGACCTAGAGATTCCTAGAAAGAACACTCCACTAGGCATTTGTAGCTCCTCCAGTGCAATTCTGTGGTCAGTGTCTGGCAGATGTTGACCACAGAGTTGCACTGGAGGACCTAGATTCCTAGAGAGGTGTTCTCTCAGGTAAAAACATAGTGTTTTTGTTATCTGCAGTTTTTCCATATTCAGGCGTCCTGTGCCCCTAACCCCAGCAAATGTGGAAGGACGAATGTAGTTTGTTTTCTGAAACAGAGTTGCCCCTGTCTGAGAAGAATAAAACTATCTATTCCTTTTTTAAAAAAAGTTTGACACAACAGCCTGATCTGTAGTCAGCAAGCTGGAATAGGGCTGGATGCAGAAATAGTTCCCTACTATACACCCATCAGGTGTTCAGGATCCAATGAGGAAAGCACTTCCCAGCTGTATCTGAGGACAGGAACACTTCTGACACTTTCAAATACTCTACGGATGGTGTAATGTGTTCCGTATCTAGGTTGCAATAATCAGCAGGAACCTGATTAAAAAGCAAGGACAGTTTCAGAATATGAGGACCCTTGAGAACAAGACTTTGGCCTACCCATCCTCCTTGGCCCATCTTGTCAGTTCAATCCTACCCACCACCCCATCAAGAGAGATGATCAAGAGATGGCAGATTGCAAATGCCACCTCTGGATGGCATAGAGAGAAAGACTGGGCCTTGTAGTACTGCCCACTCACTCATTTTCAGACAAAGAAGCCACTTCTTCCTTTCATTTGCTCACCAGCACTCTGTCTGTGAAGAGCACAGCAGAAGAAACTGGGACCTAGCAAACCCAATCCTATCTCCTGGAGGTGGAAGAAGATAAGCAGGTAGAGGCAGTTGTAGAGGCAATTAGAAGCAATGGCAGCTGTTCCTTACAACCATCACTTACCCAATCTTCCCTGCTTTATTAGCCCACTATGAGATGTGACTGAACCAGGAGAATTAAGCGGGCAATATTGCAGACCAAATGCTGGTCCATGATCTCTGGAAGGCTCTCTCTCTCTCTTTTTTTTCCCCCCTATTCATCCATCTTTGGCCAGAATGACATGGAGCACTGACCCAATTAGGACAACCAAGTGTAGAAGCAACTCTGCTTGCTTGTCCTCCATCTCTGGGTGTTCCAATACAAATGAGTGGGATCACAGGATTGACCCCATCACCTGTGCTCTTTAAAGAGAAAACATAGACAAATGAGTGAGAGAGAGAAAGGGCAACCCTCTCTTGCACAAGCAGCCTCATCAGCCCTCCTGAATGCCTGCACTGCCTAAAGGAGGAAGTAAGTGGACAAAGGCAACAGCACTTTCACACAGAGACAGACACACACCCACACTGTGCAGAGTGTTGCAGGGCCCTCCTCTCCCATGCAGCCCAAACAGAGAGTGAGGAAACAAGAGGAGGAGGAAGCAGTCACTGCCTTCCCTAGTTCTTAAAAAGTGTTGTTCTGTCTATTCCATCCCATTCTGATCTCCCAGAGACCAAGCAGACAGCTATGGGGAACCCACAAGTGCCTTCCTGCTGCAGGTCCTCAGCAACTAGTATCAGAGGCACAGAGCCATTGTGACTAGTAGCCATTTAACCAAGAGACCCAGCATGGCGTAGTGGTTTGAGTGTTGGACTGCAACTCTGTAGAGACCAGGGGTCGATTCCCAGTTCTGCCATGAAACCCACTGGGTGATCTTGGGCAAGTCACGCTATCTCAGGCTCAGAGGAAGGCCAAGGCAAATCTCCCCTGAACAAATCCTGTCAAGAAAACCCCAGGATTTATAGGAGCCTTGGGATCCCCAAAAGTCAAAAATGACTTGAAGGCACACACACAACAACAAAGCTATGTAACACATACTGTCATTCCTCCAAATCCATCGATTCTTTATCCACAGATTCAACTATCCATGGCTTGAAAATATTAAAAATATATACAGTGGGCTCTTGGTATCTGCTGCAGTTTGGTTCCAAGACTCCCTTGGATACCAAAATCCATGGATGCTAAGTCCCATTAAATACAATAGCACAGTAAAATGGTGTCCCATACATTAAATGGCAAAATCAAGGTTTGCTTCTAGAAATGTGTGTGTGTGTGTGTGTGTGTGTGTGTAACCGTGAATGGTTGAATCCTTGGATAATGAATCTGTGGATGTGGAGGGATGACTATGGCCCATAACACACTGCAGAAACAATCCAGTTTCAGACTGCTTTAACTGCCCTGGCTCAATGCTAGAAAATTCTGAGAACTGTCGTTTTGTGAAACATTTAGCTTCTCTGTCAGAGAACTCTCGGGCCACAATAAACTACAATTCCCAGGATTCCCTAGCTCTGAACCAGGGCAGTTAAAAGCAGTCTCAAACTGGATTATTTCTGCAGTGTGTTTTGGACTTATATGCTATAGAGTTTTGTTGTTGTGTACCTTCCAGTCATTTCCAACTTATGGCGACCCTAAGGCGAACTTATCGTGGGGATTTTGGGGGGTGCTGGACCCAAACCCCAGCAGATACCAAGGACCCACTGTATTCTTCTTAGCCAGTCCCAGTGGCTCCAACTATGGCTGCTTTCAGAAGGGGGGCTGGAGAGGCAATGGCTTCACCCCAAACCGCTCACAATCTGCCTCTCAGTCAGCCAGATCAGGGCTACTACCTAGGTTTAAGAAGTCAGGGAAGTGACTAGAGCAGGGATAGGCAACCTTTCCCCTTTAAGCGCCGAGGGACTTCAGCTCCCAGAATCCCAGGAGCTATTGGCCAACATGGCTGAGGCTTCTGGGAGCTGAAGTCCCTTGGCCCTTAAAGGGGAAAGGTTGCCTACCCCTGGACTAGAGCCTGCGAAGCCTCCATTTGCCTTCCCACAACCAGCAGCCCTGCGTCACCTGCCCTCAGAAAGCAAGGAGGAAGTGTTGCTGTTAATTTGCAAAAAAGACACAGTTCCCTCAAAGGCCCTACAACTGAGACTCCCCTCTCCCTTCCCCTCCCAAAAAATAAAATCCCTGTGAGGGAAATGGTTTCCAAGATCTATACGAGGTGCTCTCTCTTTGTTTCCACTGTTTCTAAGAGAGGGAAGTCCCTTTACTGAGCCAACCTCTTACTGACCCAAGAGTGCATCCACACAGCAGAAATATAAAGTTCTAGGGATCTGTAGTTTGTTTTAACTCCAGAAATAATCCATCTTGACACTTGTTTAAGTGCTACGGTTCAATGTTGTGGAGTTCTGGAGATTTGTAGTTTGTTGTGGCCCCAGAAATAATCTATCTTGACACAGTTTTTAAGTGACATGGCTCCATGCTAGGGAATTCTGGGAACTGTAGTTTGTAGGAGCTCTGGGCCCAGAACAAACTACAAATCCCCAGAACTCCATACCATGGAACCACAGAACTTAAAGCGGTGTCAAACTGGATTACTTCTGGAGCTACCACAAACTACAAATCCCCAGAACTCCATACCATGGAACCATA